AGTTAGGCAAAGACGGTGTATATTTGTAGCACTATAAGACAACAGTATATTAATAAACGTGTTCAACACTAGAAAATCAGCTTTATACAGAGAAGTAAACCTAGCACATATTAGAATGCAATACAGGAACTCTGCCAGTACTGAAATATCAAATCTATTTGGAGCCACCACACTATATACTGGAGCTCATGCCTGTAAGTAGCCATTAGTAGAATCTTTCCCTGCTTTCATATACCATCTAGTTAGAGCTTAATAAAGTTTATGGGTAATTCAACTTGCAAGAGGCAATCCATTACCTTTATTTCCTTTTAATTATCAAGTAAGTGAACACAGATAATAAGCTTCTTGATAAATAACAGTTCACATACTAAACAATCAGCTACTGAATCTAAGTGATCAAGAATTGTGCATCACAATACCCTCAAGAAACATATATCAAGCTCATAATTCAAGAAACAAGAAAATATTTGCAAGCTTTGTGAAAATAAAAGAAACCATTATCTTGAGTGATTCATCAATCCTGATATGCTATTTCCCTTATGAATAGAAACAATGGAAATAATAAAATTAAGAAGGGATACTGTAATATACCAGTCTTGACAATAGGACAGCTCTTCTTGCATTCCTGACGGCACTTCTTTGGCTTGCATCTGTCGGAGCTCACGATTGCTATACGGGTCAACCGGTCTGCCATTTCCTACTCTTATTCTACCCCCAATAAATCAACAAAATCAGATTAAGCTACACACAGTGAGAGCAAGAGATTTAGAGACATACGCCCTTTTCTTTGTCTATATTTGGTAGAACATGTGGTGCGCATGATCAAACAAAGGCTGGATTGGATTGCATAAAAAAATAATTACACAAGAAACAGATTTGAAAGGCAAGTACTTGGGTATGAAATTGAAATATACATCTGTGAAAATTTGATATAAGTGGATGTAAGAGGAGGACTTGGTCAATTTCATTAATACCCAAAGGCTTCAAGAGAAGAGTCCTTAGCTAAAACTGTATCCAAATCGCCCAACACACCAGCTACTAATTACTTTGTCAAATTTCAATCAATACTAACAATCAGTGGAAAATAATATGCCCACCGATTTTCCAATAATAATCAAACAATTCTCTCTTAATCTTTGTTTTCCGGCACCCAGATACACAGGACGAAAATACACCAAATACTTACGAAGAAAACGAAGCAGAAGAGACGGCGGTGGCGACGGAGGGCAGACTGGCTGCTAAGTATACGAAGGGGTGGGGAGGTGGTGAGGGATGGATGTGGGGGGTGGGGAGTGGGGAGTGGGGGGTGGGGGGTGGGGGGTGGGGGAGGTGGGTAGTGTGGCGTGTGGCGTACCGGGGGTGGGAGAGCTGTCTCTTTGTCCTCTCCCCCGTGTGATATTAGGGTTTTTAAAACCAAAAGAGACTGACGGGGTTAGTCTAGGCATAGAGGCGTGCGTTACAGTAAAAAAATTTTGAAAGTAAAACCAAAAAGTTGGTGATTATTAGATAGATATAGACATTTCCTGTATTCCTTTTTTATTATCATTTTTTTTTTAAACAAAACTCTTTTGCAAGGAAAGGATGATAAAAATATTATTTACATCATTTTACCAACTAGTAAAGTGGTATTTTCATGCCAAAGTTGGTATAAGTTTCAAATTTGACATATTAAACTGAAGTACAATTCAATCGAGTATTCGACAAATTCAATCCCTTATATTGACCGATTCAATTCAATTTCACAATTCAATCGAGTATTCGACAAATTCAATCCCTTATATTGACCGATTCAATTCAATTTCAATCAGCTTTGGATAATTTAGGTATCCTTGGATTGCTTCCTAAATAAAAATCTACATCGACATGATTGAATTCGATGACTGATTTGCTTGTGACAATTCAATCTAGTTGGTTCAATTTGGGTAATTAATGGGGAACCATACAAGGCTGGTTTGTTATTGTCGTGCTTTGAAAAAAAAAACTATTTTTGTTGTGCTGTGAGAATAAGCAGCAAAGTGTTTGGTAAATTTTTTTATAAAAGTGCTTTTTCAAAAAAAAAAAAAAAAGCAGTATTATATTGTTTCGTAAACTTTTATGTAAAACAAATGTGAAAAAAAACCGGTTTTTCAAAACTGGGTTTTGCAGCTTCTTGTTTTTGACTTTTTTTACCCAAAACTATAAAAAAAAAGCTGAAACTGAATGTTTACCAAATACAAAAACAGCTCTCAGCTTTTTTTTATACCAACTTTTTTCAGAATCACCTTAGTACCAAACTAGGCTAAGGACGGGCGACCAGTATATACTGTAGATTGGTTTTGAACTGAGAAGGGTGAACTCGAGAAGGTCGTGAGTCGTGACCATTTTCTTGGATCTGGGATTGCCGACAAGGAAATGTCAAGGCTTAAAGTGAGGGCTAATCAATCAACAAGGATTTGACGATAATTGCTTCATGATTCAATATATTGGTAAACACTAAACATCGGGGAAGTTCCCATTTCAGAACGCTTTCATGGCTGGAAGACAAATTCATGATAATGTTGGTATTGCACATGAGCTTTTCCATTTCCTAAAAACACGAAAAGCAAGGCAAAAGTTCGAACTTGGAATTAAACTAGACATGCACAAGGCTTATGATAGGGTGGAGTGGGATTTTTTGTTGGCAATTATGGAGAAAATGGGGTTTGACTCTAAATGGTGTAGTCTGGTCATGGGTGCATATCCACTGTTAACTTTGCTATCATGCTCAATGGGCAGCCTGGGTCGAAGTTTGCTCCTTCACATGGCCTCCGCCAAGGTGACCCTTTATCCCCTTGTTTCTTTTTGTAAGTGAAGTCCTTTCATCGTTCATCCAACGGGCAAGTGACACAAAGAAGATCACTGGGGTTCAAGTTAGCCCTCTTAGGCCGGTTATCTCTCACATACTTTAATTTTTCAAAAGGCTGACAAGGTGAATTGCACCAACATGGTGAATTTGATTAAAGATTTTTGTGCGGCTTCTGGGCAGCAGGTAAATCTGTTTAAGTCCAGTGTGTTTTTTGGTGCAAATATTCCAGTGGCTCTCACGTAAGAACTTGGGGGGTATTTTGGGGATGACAGCGGTGGAGGACCATGGTATTTATCTCGGCATGCTCGCCATCTGGGGAAGATCTAAGAAAAGGGGGCTGTCATATGTCAAAGGAAAGCTCCTGGGAAAAATTCAAGGATGGAAGCAGTCAACCTTTTCTCAGGCGGGAAGGGAGTTCTTGATTAAAGCGGTTGCTCAAGCTATTCCGACCTACCTGATGAACATTTTTAAATTCCCTGCCAACGTTTGTAATGATCTGGATTCTCTTACTTTTAAATTTTGGTGGGGGCATAAAGGAAAGGAGCGCCATATACATTGGATCTCTAGGGATACATTGGGTCTCCCAAAGGCGGTGGGAGGACTTGGGCTGAGAAGTTTCATGGATTTTAATGAAGCCCTCCTTGCTAAACAATGTTGGCGGTTGATTCAAAATCCTAACTCATTATGGGCGAGGGTTCTGAAAGCCCGCTATTTCCCACACTGCTCTTCCCTCGATGCCAAGCGTGGTGGAAGAGCTTCTTGGGCTTGGTCAAGCCTACTCTCGGGTAGGGATCTATTGTTGAAGGATGCACATTGGCAGGTAATGAGTGGGAAGGAAGCCCGGGTTTGGTTAGACAGATGGCTCCTCACCTTACCGGACGGACACTATTTCCCTAGTGGTTCTATTTAGGTTAGTCGAAACACCAGGGTAGAGTTGTTAATTAGCCCTGCAAATGGAGAATGGGATATTGACTTTTTAAAACCTTTCATTTCAACGGTTAAATATGATGCAATTTTGGAAACTTAGTTAGGTGATCCGAGTATATGGGATAGACTGGTGTGGCCTCTTGATAAGCGTGGGGTCTATTCGGTTAAATCGGGATACCATCGCGCTTATGAGCGGGTCATCCCGAGGGTTAATCCTGGATCTTCCTCCTCTTTGTCAATACCGGGATCTATTTGGAAAGTTGTGTGGAAGCTTCATACCCCTCCAAAGATCTGATGCTTCATTTGGAAGACAATGCATAATGCCCCTGGCAACAATGGCGACACTCTTTAGGAGGAGATCTGCTCCTTCACCTATGTGCCCACTTTGTAAATCTCATGAGGAAACAATTGAGCACCTCTTTCTTCTTTGCCCGTGGGTGGAACCAGTGTGGTTTGGTGGCTTGCTTAACTACAGAGTTAACCGGAATCAGATCACAACTTGGGTGAATTGGATCACGGCACTAATCAACTCTTTTAGAAATTCAAAGGCTGATTTGGAAAGAATGTTGTCCTATGTTGCATTCACGTGTTGGCAAATTTGGAAGGCTAGATGCAGTTTCCTTTTCCAACAACACCCTATTATTCCGCGACAAGTGCTTGCTGCCATTCCTACGAATTTCTGTGCTTTTTAGGAGGCCTCCAGGGTCTCGGCTGAAACTGTTGTCCACGTCAGACCTGATTCCCTTGTGCAGATCCGTTGGGTTCCACCGCCTCCTCAGTATGTCAAATTAAATGTCGACGCTAGTTGGGTGGCTAATACAAATGTGGGATATGCTGGGGTGGTTGCGAGGAATTCTTTTGGTAATTTTGTTGCAGCGCGCAGATGCAGAATCAATTCGACATGGCTGCGAGATGGGCATTGCTATTCGACATGCAGAATCAAATTCTTTTGGTAATTTTGTGGCAGAAGCATTTGCAATTCGACATGGCTGCGAGATGGGCATTGCTATAGGTATGAATTTTGTGGTAGTCGAATCTGATTCCCTTGAATCAATTTCTCGCCTTAAGGGTGAGATATCAAATGACAGGTGGGAGGCTTTTCCAGCTCTTTTGAGTCTGGTTTCATCTTATCCCCTTGCACTACCCGGTCTGTTGTAATGTTGCTTGCCTCGTTGTAACCTTTCATTATGTACTTCTGGCATCTTTGCTCGGGTAATGATATATTTCCAATTTTCCAAAAAAAAAAAAGAGAAAATATCAGATTACACAGATGTACAAAGGAATGGAATCACACCCCAAAAGAAAAGAAAGGAACAGCAAAGCTAATGCTAATTTAACTGCAATTCCAAATAGACAGCAACAGCAACCACTATGCATCTCTATCTGTCTCACGGCACTGATAATGATGATAATAATAATACAACAGTATACCTACTGGAATATGCATACAAAGTTGAGCATTGACCAATTTTTTTTTTTTTTTAATGAAGCATATTTTTTATTTTAATACAAGAGAATAAAGACAACCCACCTAGGGTTGCGGCTGGCTTTCCACTCAGTCAGTAGTGACTTTTGGGAGAAATTTTTCAATATGATGGGAAGATGATCCGATGCATCAAGTGTCATTATACAAGTGGTTAGAAAAAAACTTTTCAGTATCCAACCACTTGTATTACGACACTGATATACATGGCCCAGTATATTGGACACGATTTGGTGCACTAAGTGTCATAATACAAGTGATTGGAGAAAAAATTTTAAGTATCGAACCACTTGTATTTCGACATTGATATATACTGGGCCGTGTTTCTCTCCTAGTCTTGGGGTGGGTTGGGCCAAATGCAAGGGGCCTGCTATTTTTTCTTAGTGTGCCAGCGACATGAGTAACGCGGTCCATGTGCCTGACCCAAGAATTTCACTCCAACCTATATGGGACCGGGATTTTATTCTGTTCAAACAAACCTCAAAGCATCCTCTAGCTCTTTCTCATCAACACAATTATATCCCATCATATAAGCTCTTGCTGCCACAAAAACAGAAAATTATTAAGGACATTCCACTTCTCTAAAACAAAAACAAAAAGGCAACTTGATTACCAAAGCGCCCAGATCCCAGGAATGGTTCTACTTCGTCTGTCACAGTTCCTTGCTGCTGCTCCTGAATTTATTTTTTTAAAGGAAATGACCAAGCATTAGCAACTATATAAACATAATGAGACAAATTGTTCACTACATGGCTAACAACTAGCCAAATCACCTATTGCATTTGAAATTTTTTACAAGAAATGAGAAAACGGAATTGACAACTAGTTGATGTTTGAGGGGTTAAGTAGCACATTTTCAGATTAATGGGGCAAAGTGAGACTAAAAGTGAGTTTCGAGGGGCATACCAAATTATCAATAATTAAGCCTAACACAATTAAGTTTTAACTATTTATATTAACCAGAAAATATCTCATGAGGAAGAATTTGAGGGGCAACTTGATGACAAATTGTTGTATAATGACCACAAATTGCAAGGCAGAGGAGATGTCCACTCACAGCATCTGACTCCATTTCTTCCGGTGATAGAAACCCATCGAAACAGTGCCCAGATATTGTGCAGACCCAAAGCTCATTGGCCGGATCCATAACAACTTCTCTGCAATTATCATCACATACTGAAGAAGAGAACACGAAAAATAATTGGATGAGACTTCAGTCCTGCATAAAATTCACGCATGAACACACAAAGTGCATTGAAATTCATTGATACCTACCATGAACCTGGCCAGTCTTCTCACAAACAAATACGTCTCCAATTTGGAAGTAAGTGCACTTTTCACCAGAACAAGCATGATCAGCTTCCACCTTATGCCTCTACTACTTTTCCACATAGACACTTGATTAGCTACTGTTGTGTCAAGAATTATCCCGTCATCATTTACCTTCACAAGCAAATATGAAAGTTAAACCAATAAGGTATACAAGTAGAAGGAGATAGAGAGAGTCCCACATGTTACAACTGAATGTAAAGTAAAGGTTGAGCACGACATATTCAGCACTAGAAAACTACTGAGAAAATAAGACAAAAAGATCTTGAAGTTAACCCAAGAGAAAAGCAAAACGCTGAAGGCTTTAAGACCCAATGTCTCATAAAGTAAGTCTACCAAAACAAAACAATTATGCATAAGGTTTCAAGAAGCATAAAAGCCAAGGCACCGCACAGGTCAAGGCATAAGAGCAGGCTCTTCTCATAACCTCACACAAAGCAACACCACACAGGTGAAGGCAAAGGTAGCTCGATTTACCTGTGAAGCAACACCACACAGGTCAAGGCACCGTATCGTCCTCATCACGCTGGAAAAGAGAAAGAATTTTGTTCAGGCTAATAACACTTATCTAGGTTGCTGCTGCAAAGCAGCTTCAGGTTTCATGTAAGTGCACACAGTATGAAAAGTTCAGTTTTTCAAGTCCAAACTACAAATTAAGTACTTTTTATGAATGCCGATGATGACTGCAGCAGCAACTACACAAAAAAAAAAAAAAAAAAAAAAAAAAAAAACATCACAAAGCCGGTGATGGTAGTTATGAGAGAAACACAGAGAAGAGAGCGAAGGAGATAACAGAAGTGTGAAAAAAATACCCAATAAAGGGTATTTTGGTAACCTACGCTCTAGGAATAAATAAGCTAATGATATCATTTTTAAGATGTCTTAATTTTTGTCTCTTTTTGAAGTATTTAAAAAATGTTGTCTCAATATAAAATTAGGTATTAAAAGTATACTTTATATTAATTTTTCCTTTAAAAAACATTTAAATCAAGAATATATATGGAATATAGAGTTCAATCAATAGTGAAAGAAAACACTTTAATCAAAAGTTGGAAAGTAATAGATGTTTAATCTATAAATGTCTAAAACAATGCATCTAATTCTAATTTTTCATTTTCTTATTTATTTAAAGGTAAACTTGAAAGTATAGTGGATACAACTTTTTAGTTGGATGTACAGTTAAAATAAATGGGTTCAAATAAAATTTCCTTAACAGCATTAAAATTGGAAACAACTAAAATTGTAAACTTGTTTTTAGTTTTGAGTTTTATTTCATAGACATTTCCTCCAATGTCATTCATTCAACCCTTCATTTTTCCTCTAGCCTGTCCCCGTCATCTGATATGAGCTTTATTGATTGGGTCTCCTCGGCCTTGTGGAGTATTCCTATTGATACTTATACTGATTCCGATACCCTCCATTGCAAGCTTTTAATGCTCTGCTGGCGGACTTGGACTTGAAGGAACCACTTGGTTTTCCGAAATGCGGTGCCTCACCCCTTCCAAGTTGTCAAAATGGAGACATTCTGGTCTCATGGGCAGCAGCAGCACTCCTCTAGGAGAGCTGAAAATAGTTCAAGTAGCAGTCCTCTGCCGATTTTGAATTGGTTGGAACCGCCACCTGCCCATTTTGTTAAACTAAAATCTGGCAGATCGTTGATTAACTCCTCAGCAGCTTATGCGAAAGCCCTGAACCCTTCACATTCTGAGAAGGGCTACAGTTTTATTGCGGTTGCCTTAGCTAATTTGGATCATCAAAAGACCTCGTATTGCATTTTGGTAAAAACTCACTCGCTGCCTGTGCCCAGCAAGCTCCACAACTGGATCTTACTTTGTATTGGGGAAAAAAATAAATTCACTTTTCCGCATTTATCCCAAGTACTTTTCTTATGTGTCTAGCAAAAAAAAAAATAAAACTAAAAACTAAAATTGAAATGGTGTTCAAGCGGCCTCTTAACAGTTACTTTCATGTGATCTTACTTAATGCAATAATTCAATCGTTTGGCAAACACGAATATGATATACTACTAAAAGAGAACATTAAATAACTGTTGTAACATCTTACAGGAAACTGAAGGATAAACAATAGAAGAACAAAACTTAATCCAAGAGATACAATACATAATCAAGAAAGATTAATCACTGACTTTCACTTAAATAATATTGCATTGAGACGACTTAGGGATGGAAAGGGAAAAACTAACTCTTTGACGGATGCAATGTAAGTTGAATGGTCATGAAATTCGAGCTTTCAAGTAAAATGCATGATCTTAAAACTAAATATGGATTGTGTCTCTGTCTTGAAAAATACAGTGATATTTATTCCAAGTGAAGGAAAAGGTTGAGTGGATGTGCCAAATCTGTTTAAGGAGGGAATCAGATAAACAGAGGTGTCCTGAAGGTGAAGAAGAATCAAAAGTACTTGTAAAATGCTGCAATAGACAAGCAGGGTAGAATCTTGTTGCTACTTGTTTTTGGAGGCCTTGCCTTTGGTCTTCTTGGATTTATTGGAATCTTGTAGTTTCTGGTCAGCCAAATGCGTGGGGGTGGCGGAGGATGTGGCAGTGCTTTTGATGTGAGAATAGGTGAATTCTTGGGAGAGCAATCGGGTGATTTCAGCGACCCCAACCCTCGATTTTCCATGTAATAACGTCTTCAAGTTCTCCTCCCAATTACGGTCCTTGATACCGGGACTCTGCACCATTCAGCGACACCATCCAAATTCAATAATTCGTTCGGAAGCATATGACTGGAGTGGAGATTATCCAAGTTGGAAATGAAGAAAAAGGGAAAATCATCGATGACTAGGGTTTAGATACCCATATAACATATACATATTAATGGTACTGGTACTGGTACTGTTACCGGCGGTGCAAGTGAAATAACAACACTCATAAATCGGACAAACAAACAAACAAATGTATTATGCTAATGCTATGATTGCAAGATATGTATAAGGAATACCGCACAAACAAAAATGACTAGGGGGCACAAAATCAAAACCCATAAATTTTAAACATAAATTGATAGAAAATTTCATATCATAGCATACAATAAAAAGGGGAATCGATATGAAATCCCTAGCAAGTCCTAACCTAACCTGAGTACCTGATGGTTGTAGAGGCCAATGAACTTGGAAATTAAGAGTGCAGTGGGAGAGCGAGAGCGTTCTGGGATCCCCAGAAACTTGCACAACTCTGACATTGAAGTTTTCGTCTTCACTTTCGCTGCTATTACTTTCGCCTCTGAGAAACCGCCACCCGCCATTAGCGACCGGCTTGCCCTAGCGGCACCGCTACCACCCGCCATCTAAACTCAGTCTACCTAAAGTTCTAAACTGCTCCTGCTCCTGCTTTATCAAACCCTACGAATCTATCTACGCTGCTTCTCTCTCTTGATGCGTTGCGTTTCTACTCTTCCGCGTGTCTCCGCCCGCCGGGCTCTCTTTATTTTCCTGGACTCTATCGACTACCTACTTGGATAGAGGACTAAAAGGCTAAAAATAGCACGAAAATTATCTTCAACCAATAACCAAACTAAAGGTCTCATGGGCCCCACTGAACAAAAAAATGCTAAAGGGCCAACTGGCCGGCCCGGAACCAGGCTAGAATTTAAAAACCAACGATAACTAGCTGACGACGGCTAGTTGTTATTTTTTAATTTTTTTACAAAATTTATTTTAAAAATTGTAAAATTCTTTTTTTTTTTTTTCTCTATAACTTCCTAAACCATTAAGCATTACATAACATTAAGTAACATGAAACAACACTAAACAATATTAAACAATATTAAACAACATTAAATAACATTAAACAACATAAAAATAAAACATTTAACAACATAAAAATAAAACATTTAACAACATGAAACTTAAACAACATTTTTAAAAACATTTAACAACATAAAACTTAAAACACCTACTCCATGCTTCTTTTGGCTCAAAGATGTGCAACAAGATCCTGTTGTAGGTACTTGTTTGTGGCATGGAAACTTATCATTCTATAGCGCCTCATATACTCATTTAAAGAGATACTACCAATTCTTGGATTGAAGGGCAAATTAGGCCCATCATATATTTTTGCACGAGCCCTTCTTGACGTATTTGGATCGTCTTGGTCGTCATCGGACTTTCCATCAATATACCCATCTTGCTCATCCTCTACAATCATATTGTGTAATATGATGCAAGACATCATGATGGAGTCCAAATTTTCTCGACTCCACCCTTTTGCTGGTTTGCTGATGATTTTCCACCGTGCTTATAGAATACCGAAATCTCTCTCAATATCTTTCCGGTATGCCTATTGGTGTAAGGTAAACAATTTTTCGGTTTCATTCGCAGGGTATGGAATTGCTTAAACAAGTGTCGCCCACTTTGGGTAGATGTTATCTGCCAAGTAATACCCCATATTGTACTGACGGTCGTTGATGTAGTAGTCAAGTTAAGGTGTTTTACCTTCCGTTAGGCTATTGAAGATGGGTGAACACCCAAGAACTGTAATGTCATTTTGGGATCCAAGGACTCCAAAGAAAACATGTCAGATCCACGTGTCATATGAGGCAACCGCTTCTAACACAACAGTTGGCTTTCTCAACTTTCCACTGAAGCCTCCTTGCCATCTGGTGGGACAGGTCTTCCAATCCCAATGCATGTAGTCTAATGATCCTATCATGCCCGGAAACCTACGGTCTTCAGCTTTGCGAAGGAGCCAATTCAGATTTTCTTAATTTGGCTCACAGAGGTATTCCTCCTTGTAAAGCTAAACAATTGTGTTACAGAATTCAGTAAGAGTATCAAGGCATGTAAACTTAGATATACCATGTGTTTCATCCAGTGAATCAGCTAAGGAGGCATATGCCATCATTCGTAGTGCAACAGTAAACTTCTGATGAGGTGAAAAACCAGGGCGCCTTGCTCTATCCCGCTTTTGTCGAAAGTATGGATTGATCTGCTGGACATCACGAAGTAAATACTCGAAGACATGACCCTTCATTCGGAAACGACGTCTAAAATCCTCTTTTGTGTACACCGAGTTAAGGTTGAAGTAGTTGTTCATTAGATTGACATGCGTCATCACTTTGTTTCATGGTTTGTAAGATCGACCAGCAACAGAGCCACCCTATTAAGGTTTGTTCCTCAGTTGGCTAACACACCATGGCTGCCACATATTGTGTGTTGCGCCATGCTTCATCTTCTTCATCAGGCTCCTCATCTTCTCGTCTCATCTGCGCCCATTTTTCTTCCAATTTAAAATTGGATGAAGACCCCCAGTTGGAATCCGAAAATGATCCAAAGTTGGAATTCATTGCAAACTTGAATTGAAAAAGTGAATTGAAATAGATTGAATTCAAAGGTGTGCGAATTATAACCCAATATCCACCCTATTTATAGCTCAAAAAAATACAAATTCAACGGCTAGTTGATGTCAACATGATCTCAGCGTGCAATGACTAGTTGACATCATGTTTACGTCACTTAGCCGTTGGATTTAAATTTAAGTTGTAGTTTTTAAATAATAAATTATGTTTGGCCTTCGGTTGGAGATAATTTTTTGTGATAGGGCTAAAACGAACCCTTTGGTCCTCGGTTGGAGATGGTAAGAAATATGGCCATGTACTGTTCATTAAAATATTAATTTCTTGGAGGGCTAGAGGGCTAAAACGAGCCCTCTGGCCAGCCTTAGGTTGAAATTTTAGAGAAAATGGCGCATTGATTGATACTAAATTTTGATCTACTAATTACGACTTGGGTAGTGCTTTTTCAAACGTCATCTTTCATTTCACATGCTTTTCTAGAAAATTAAAGGTAAATTATATTTTACATTCTCAAGTTTGAACGAAATTACAACCTCATACAACATCTTTAAAACATTTCAATTCCGTACATTTACTATCATTTAATTTCAATATCATATGTTATGTTAAAAAATCTGTTAACTTACCGTTAAGTGATGACGTGTCACATATGGATTCACATTTGTGCATATGTGGCTAAAATAATAATAATAATAATTAATAAAAAAACATAGTGGGCCCCACCACTCATCCAT